CTGTGTTGGCAATGCTTGACCATAATGGCGCATGCCATTTTGGCTCAAGCTTTGCCCTGGGTTCTTTGAACCCAATTTGTGTGAAAAAACCACCCACCCACACCAAGGTCAGAGGTCATGGCGGCCAAACCACCGGAGGAGGTCCCAGCGGAGTTCAAGGAGGACGTGGCAAAGTTGCACAAGCCACTGGCGGCCATCCTGGTGGGGAAGGAGATCCCCTGGGCCACCCAGGCGGCTCTGGGCGCATCGGGATACGTCACGGTGGAAGACCTGGCGGATCGCTGGGACACCCCGGCGGCGGCTAGGGAGAATGGTCCCCGGGACCTGGGATTCCGGGATGGGGAGAACGGGTTCAACGCCCAGACCTCGGCCTTCACGGCGATGCGCCTCCTTCAGGCAGTTCGAGTGGCAGCCAACTTGGTCCGGGGGGGCAACCAAGGTGATCACCCGGCGGGCCAGGCGGGCCCGACAAAGGCGCCCTTGGAGGTCCTGTGTGACAGGCGCCAGCTGGAAGATGCTTACGTGGCCACGCATGGGACCCCGAAGCCGAGGTTGGAGTTCCAAGGGAGTGATGGCTACCTCAAGAAGCAGTGGCGCATGATTGCCAAGGGTGAGCTGGGCTACATCCCGGCAAAACACATCGTGAGCGCGCTCCCGGAAGAAGGGGAACGCCCCTCATCCACCCACAAGAAGATCACGGTATGCCTGGTTCTATGGGGAAGACATCGCCGGCAGGAAGCCTCCCCCGAGCGACACCACCTTGCTGTTTGCAGAGCGCAATGCATGGCGCAAGATCCACGAGATGGTGCACCAGGGCACCACTCTCTCCGATGCCCTCAAGAATATCAGGGGCGACTTCCTCTTCTGGCAACGGGAGGTCTATGAGCACCTCAACAGGGCTCCGGAGAAGGGGAAGAGCAAGGGCAAGGCACCCAAGGTGTGGCAGACTCAGTGGGAGAAGCCCAAGAAGGGGGGGAAAGGTTCCTGGCCCTCGGGGCCGACCCGGTCCAAGCCGAAGGGCAAGGGCGGCAAGGGGAAGTCCCCCAACACCTTCTCGGTTCCATGGCCGGACCACTGGGCTTTCAAGAATCCCAAAGGGGTGGCGTACTGCAGAGATCATCACCTCCACAACAAGTGTTCGGGATCATGCGGCCGATCCCACAACTGCCCGGTCAGGAAGGATGGATGGGTTTGCGACGCCCCCCCATCGAAGCATGTGCCACAGGCATGCCCTCACCTTCCCAAGTGACAGGAGGCCACTCAGGGTGCCATAGGCCCCGTGGCTTCCCGGTCTCAGTTGGGACCACAGGCCACCAGTGCGAGAGTGCACACAGAGGGGGAGAGCCAACCCCACCAGAGCCACAGCGGAAGGCAGACAGAGCGGGGGAGGCCAGGACGGCCTCAGATGGGAGGGGACTTCTCCAGGGTGCCACCGGCCCCGGAAGCCCGGAAGAGGAGCGGTCCCAGCCAGGGCACTCCAGAAGGGCGGAAGCATCCCTTCGAGGCAGTGGGAAGACCCCCCAGAGAGACCCAGAGGTGAGGATCCGCCCGGCAAGGGGCGTTCCAAGGGCGGGAAACCGCCAGGGCAAGCAGCAAGCCCAGGGACAGATGACGGGAGGGTCAGACAAAGGACACACGGAATCCCTAGGGGGGGCAAGCCCCACCTTCCCATGGATGCAGGACATCCCGGAAAGACTGAGGCTCAGACTGAGGTGGACGCCACGGCCGTCGTCAAAGCCGTCCCTCATCCTGCTGTACGCTGGGAAGGATGATGCGGGGGCCCTGGATGCTTACCTCCATGCCTACAACCCGGCCTTCTCGGAGTACATTTGGGCGGTGGACATCAGGCGAAAGGGTGGAGACCTTGGACAGGACATGCTGGGCGAGGAGCCGTACTCTACGATGTGCTCCATGGCCATGGCGGGCAAGGTCGCCTTGGTCAAAGGGCCCCAACTGCAGGACGTGGAGCATCCTCAGATGGTTCCCCAAACCGGGTGGCCCGCCGCCGGTGAGGGGCAGAGCAGAGCAGACCCTGTGGGGCTTAGAGGACCTGGAGCCCCGGGTTATGGAGGACACGGACAATGACAGCGTGCTCATGCTCCGACAGATGTACCTGACCTCGCTGGCCTACAAGGGGCTAGGTCAGCTAACGGTCCCGCAGGTGGGCTCCTCCTTCTTGGAGCACCCGATGGACCCAATGGAGTGCAGCAAGAGCCCGAGCGCAGCGAGGTGCTCATCGATCTGGGTCACACGGGCCTACATTCAAGGGGCGAACGCACTCCACCACTCCCTCATCAAGTTTGACGAGTGCCGCCTGGGCCAGGTGGTAGTGAAGTCCACGACATTGTCAACGGACCTTCCCCTTCACCATTGGCATGATCTGCGGTGCAACCACGGGGCTCACCCCAGGGGGGAAAAGCTCAACTCCAGTGACCTCAGCCGGTACCCAGAGCAGATGATGCAGGGTCTCGCAGCGGCCATCCTTTGCCGAGCGGGACCCGTCCTGGAGGCGCTGAGGCCGGGGGGCACGGTGCCCCAGACGAACCCAACGACCCCCCCGAGGCGGCAGAGGGAACCTTCTCCCAGCACGCCGGGGGACAACCAGCGCCAGTCCCGGAGGCTGAAGGCTGGCCAACAAGCGTTGGCGGGACTAACCTTGGGCTCACTTCCGGTCTCGGCCTCGGACAATCCGGAGGTCCGGACACCGACACAGAGGACTGGCGAGACGGACGAACTTGGGGGGGGAACTCTTTCCCCTGAGCCATGGGCGCACCATGGCATGGAGATCTCGGATCGGCCCACCATCCTGCCGATCACGCACGACCCCAATCTCTCCGACAAGGTCGATCACTTCAGCGAACTCATCCGGGGCACATTTCTGGAGGAGGTCCCCATGGGCATGGTGGAGGGCCCCTTCAGTAAGGTGGAGGCAGCATCGCACTGTGGCTGCGAAATCGAGGACCTTTGTCCCGGCCCCCTAGCGGGCATCGACGAGGGGGACAAGATCCGCACGATCTACGATGGCTCGGTGGGAGGGGCCAATGACACCATCAGGAACCAGACGGTGGAAAGGACGACCGTCGGAGCCGATGGGGTCCAAGCTCTTCATTGGCTACATGCGGCAGCTGCGGAGGGACCCCCCTCTCAGGGTGCCCCTGGCCCCGAGAGGGTCGTCAAACCTCCACCTGGGGGCTGGCTATGGCCGGCCGGGTGGGTGCTGCTCAAGGCGGACGTCACCAAGGCCCACCGGAGAGTGAAGGTCCTCAGGAAGGACTGGCGGTTCCAGGTGGCCTCACTGGGGGAAGAATGGTGGGTGAACAAGGTAGGCACATATGGCATGGCCAGTGCCCAATCCTACTGGGGACGCGGGTGGGTGCTGCTCAAGGCGGACGTCACCAAGGCCCACCGGAGAGTGAAGGTCCTCAGGAAGGACTGGCGGTTCCAGGTGGCCTCACTGGGGGAAGAATGGTGGGTGAACAAGGTAGGCACATATGGCATGGCCAGTGCCCAATCCTACTGGGGACGCCTGGCAGCCCTTCTACTCCGGGTCCTCTACGCACTTTTCCCTCAAGTGGATTGGAACTTCGTCTTTGTCGATGACTTCCTGTGGCTGCTTCGAAGCGAGGGGGCAGTAAACTTGGCGGTGGCGCTGCTGGCAACACTCCTGGCCTTGGGCACCCCGCTTAGCTGGAAGAAGACGCATTTGGCGGAGGTTAACACATGGCTGGGTTTCGTGGTCCACCCGAACATCCCGCAGGTTCTCATGGCAGCCAACAAACACATCCTGGTTATGGAGGTTCTGCAGACCATGGTGGAAGGGCAGGCAATGCACTCAAAGGACATCGAGAAGGCCCTGGGTCGCATCCAATGGGCGACGGCTGCATGTCCGCTGGCGAAGTCGATGCTCCAGCCACTTTGGGCCTGGAAGATGGCCACCACCACGGTGGGGAAACCCCCAAGGTGGTCAGGATGCTGGCGTTCATGCTGCGGTTCCTCTTCAACACGCCTTTCGTCCAGTACTCCCCTTACTTGCCGAAGTCCTCTTGGTGGGGTTGCAGCGATGCTAGCGCCTCGGACGAAGGACTGGCATTTGTGGGAGGTTGGTGCTCCAACAAAGTGGAGCCGGAAAAGAAGGAGGTGTACTGGTTCCACGAGCAGATCCATGTGGAGGAGTACCCTTGGGCTTTCAAGAATGGGGATCCCAAGCGGAGGATTGCGGCTCTGGAGATGCTGGGCACGCTCTTCCTCTGTAACATGATCCTCACGCACCAAGGCCCTCTGTCCTCCCGGGTCCGACTCCCGGTGGGCAGTGACAAATAGGGCAACGTCATGGCGATGCTCAACCTTGGATCCAAGAAGCCCTACACGGCGGCGGAGCTGGTCTTCCTGCTCCACACCCATGGCTGCTCGCTGGCGGCCAACCACGTGCCCCGTGAATTCAATCAATGGGCTGATGAGCTGACGCACCCAGATTTCTCTGGGTTCGACCCTTTGCAAAGGGTCCCCAAGCAGGAACTCTGCGAGGAGTTCGTTTTTCTCCCGCGTCTCCTGAATGGAGATGCATTTGATCTTAGCGTGGGCCCACCCATGCTCCCGTGACCGGAGCCGGTGGGCGACTCACTTCCCCTGGTGGCAGACCCCCCTGTGGCCTGGGGCCCCGGCTCAGGGGCGGGCGCTATCAGTCTGCACACCCATTCTTCAGTTTTTGAGATTGTGAGTTGGGTGGCCCATGGGGCCCACCCAGCCTTTGTCATCTGACAGGGGAAGATGAGTCCCTGGCACCAACACACTGCTCGGATAAAAGAGTTATCGCGTGCTTGTGTGTGGTGCCGTTTGGTTAGCTTGCATACACTATCAATCTTCCTGTTTTTGGGCCCCCGGCCATGACCATGGGTAACTTGTTCCCATGTGGTTGAAGTATCATTTTAGTGGTTTCCCAACCACTGGTCATCCTCTGATTATCAAGGACCTTGTTGATCAACCCCCTGCATGCATTGCAGGATGCGAGCGCTTGGACAAGAGTGGCGTTACAGGAGAGGTCGCGGCCTCATCTCGGATGCTGCTGGTAAAGAGACGGCAACAAAAATAAGAGAAGCGCGGGCAGATCTCTCAGTTGCCATATGGGCGGCTCGTCTTTTGTTTTGAGGGAACCGCTTCTTTTTTTGAGTGAAAACAAAAGGAACACCACCATTTGGGGGGCTTGCTGTTTTGGCGGTTTTACGGTGAAAAAAGAAGGAG